ATTCGCTTCTTTGATTCATTTCAGGGAATGCAAAGTAGAATGTCCTACAATATTTTATTTATTTCACTTCTTTGCTTCATTTCAGGGAATGCAAAGTAGAATGTCCTACAATATTTTTTTTTTAATTCGCTTCTTTGCTTCATTTTGGGGGATGCAAAGTAGAATGTCCTACAATATTTTATTTATTTAGTTTCTTTGCTTCATTTCAGGGAATGCAAAGTAGAATGTCCCACAATATTTTTTTTTATTTCACTTCTCTGCTCCATTTCGGGGAATGCAAAGTAGAATGCATCGTAGTCAGCGGAAAAATATAATGAATATCCAAACATTCTTTTTATACCGTTGCTTTCTGTGGAAATTTGTCTCGCATAAAAATCATGTTTTGCGTTGTTCAATTTACAGCGAAGTTGAAGTCAGTCAATAAAGTGAATTACGTAAGTGAAGAAGTGTAAAAAGGTCAGTGATAAAAATAAAATGCTAAGCAAGCGGCATTTGAAGCGTTTAACTAAAGATAAAAGAAAGAAAATTGACTTAAAATTTAATGAAAGTTTGTGTAGTGAGAGTGTTGAACCAAATAGCGGCAACAGAGCATTAGTAAAGGGAAACATTAATGCTGAGCGTGTTATTGGAGACAGTGTTGTGACAACCAGTCAAGCGCCACTTAAGAAAAAATTGTCGGACTGGTTTTTAGAATTTAGGCCCTCCTATAGATGTGCCTCCAGTCTTCTAAAAATTTTAAAATACGAAAACCTCTGTGTGCCCACCAGTGTTACTTCTTTAATAGGCTCGCAACAAGGTTGCGTAATACGGACCGTGCCACCAGGGCAATACGTCCATATTGGAATAGGGAAACAATTAGAAAAAGTAATAGAGGAAATTATTGAGGAAGGATTAGAGGAAGTGCGACTTGATGTAGGAATAGACGGGTTGCCCTTATTCAAAAGCTTCCTTATTGGAAGCTATGTTGGGGAGAAAAAACCATATGTCGTCGATGTCTATTTGCATGATTTTGTTGAAGAAGTTAAACACTTGTCAACAAATGGGTTTTCATGCAAGGACCATTCAATAAAGGTTCTTATACGAGCCCTTATTTGTGACACACCTGCACGTTCCTATGTTTGTGGTATTAAAGGGCACACTGCACTCAACGGGTGCTCTAAATGCACACAAAAAGGCCAAAAAATTAGTAATGTTATAGTTTTCCGTTCATTAATTGGCGATCTGAGAACTGACATTGATTTTGCCAATAGGTCTGATAAAGATTTCCATATACCATTCTATAAAGAGAGGATCCACTGCCTTGAGGAAGTAAATTTAAAAATGGTAACGCAATTCCCTTTAGATGCCATCATCTTATTGATCTTATCGTCGTTAAAAAAATTATTAACATTATATTGAATGGTAAAAGCGCCACTAAAATTGGGTCTCAAGGAAATATTCAGCTATCGTCCCTGTTGACTTCTTTAGCACATTATATTTCAAAAGATTTTGTTCGGAAACCAAGAGGCTTTCAAGAATTGCCGCGTTGGAAGGCTATAGAATTCAGGCAGTTTATTTTATATACGGGGTTGGTTGTCTGGATACATTTTCTGCATACAGTTTTGAAAGCTATTTGCAAATTGTGAAGAAAAGCATCAAGAAACCTCAGCATATTCCTCAACAAATTTTCAACAAGTTTAATTTATTGCCATATTCAAAGGTACCAAAAATAGAAGGATTTAAGAAAAACTCTGAAGGAGTAATAAAATCATATACAAGTGAATCGTTTGCTTATTTTTCAACAAGTTTTCCTGATTATTATTGCTCAACTTCATCTCACACCTTTTTAAAAATTAAAGATTTTTTTGAAAATTAGTCTTTTACTGCAAAAGCTTTTTTAAATCCAGAAAATTTTTTTACAACACCTGTTTCTTCCTTGAGTCTCGGGATTGGTGTTGTAAGCTCTATGCGACTTGGCCCGGAAATATTGTTCAATCTAAATGAAATCTCTTACAAGCTAGTATCTTTACCATACAAAGACAGTATCGTTTTGTTGCCGCTAGTACACAGTTGTATATAAAAAAAAAATTTTAATAAAAGTACGTGTATATAAAAAATAATAAAAAATGGCCGAGATAAAAAAATTAAAAAAAGAAATTCACGAATTAAAAGGTAGTATTTTATGGTTACTATCACATATCTACATATACTATGTTACTTCAAACAATTTGGAATACATTTTGGAGCTGAAGTATATTTAATTTAACTAACTAATTCTTCCGTAGACAATTACTAACATTATTATTTTTTTTTACTTAACAGTTTCATGAATTTCTAACAATGGCAAAAATTCGAGCTAGCAAAATAAAGAAAATACTCGTAGCCACGCCACACCAAGCCAGGTGTCAATTTGAATTTGAATTTTTCAAAATTTTCCACAAAAGTTTTAAACTTTTATGTTTTTGTTGCGGTTTGAACTGTATTTAAAAAAATAATATTTTTTTTTATTAATTCACAAAATTCTAGGAAATTTAAAAAAAGCGGTGGTAAGGTTTGCGTGGCCACGATCGTATGACAAATAAAATATTGATCTATAAAATAATAAAAGAAAAACTTTCAGGCATTATAATGGAACTAAAAGGAGAAGTAGAAGAGTTAAAAGTTATTGCGTTGGGGAAGAATGCCGCAGCAGACAGTTTCAATTCGGAAATAAATGCAATGAGAGGTACTATTTTGAAATTATAACACTCGAAATAAATACACTCACTAGAAAAATTTTCCGTAGAGATTTTTTAAATAATTAAAATATTTGTCATAAAAGCACTTTTTCGTTCATCTTTTATAAAAATAGAGTTCATTGTATAATATGAGCCAGTAAATTGTAAATTTGCAACTTTTCTTAAAAAAGTGAAATTTTGCTTAAAATTTCGAAACATTTTCTGAATTTTAAGCAATAAATTTAAATAAATAAATGAACAAGTTGTACACAATATCATTTTGAATTTCGGTGCTAATTATTTGAACGCCGGTGTATGTATAAATAAAAATGAACATTTACTTTTGCAGGCTTATACGAAACAAATTTGGAATGCATTAAAAATATTTTAGCAGAACAAAGCGTATTAATGAAAAATTTCACAGAAAGCTTATACCCTGTACCGAAATTTGTATCACTGTTTCCCATAAAAACACAGGAAGAACTGGATAGCATTGAATCCCATACAAGCACCGAAAATGAAACCCAAATGGTAAGCACTTTTATCTTTATAATTTTTTTTCTTAATAAAAAGATATATACCTACTATATATCGTCGCCACATTGTCGAACTAACCGATGCGGAAGAAATCATTTCTTTAATAAGCGAGAAATTCCACGGGTTTTCTGATAGAAAAATCAATTTGAAAGTATCGGACATGAAATAATTTATTCACATTCGTTAGTTTAGCATTGGCGACGATGTGTATATACATGCATAAGTATGTATGTATGTATATTTATAAATTTATCTAATAAAAAATATTCATAAATTTTGTTATCACTTTTAAAAGGTTGCAACCGTTTTTCACGTTATTAAGAATGGCGGCTTTAAATCAAACTTGCTGTCGATTTTTAGCGAAAACGTTATAATGGACCACAACATTGATGGTAAACAAGGCAAGACCCCGCTGCTCCGTTATACGAAGCTTATGAATGTCTTTATTCGTAAGTACATACATACAGTGAATCAAACAAATGACCAAGTGTTGATTGTTTAAATATTCGTAATGTTTTTCGAGCTATTTTTTTTTGTTATTCTTTTTTAAAAATTTACCGTCCCAGCTTTAACCAAAACCATATAAACCACAATTTCAAACTTAATTTAATTGAAAATATAAGAAAATTCAACAAATTTTCATCAAAACTTCAACTTTTTAATTTAAATCTTAAGAACATTTTTGGGTAGGCAGTTTTATAGCCCATACAATTTTACTCTAATGAAGTGCAAGTTTCAAACCCGTTCAACACGTGTTCATTTGTTTGAGCCACTGCATGTGCTTTGTAAATTGCTTTCAATATATAGATACATATATAGTTACATTTCTCCTACCAACGATTCAATTTATTTTAAATATTTATCCGACAGAAGCGGCTCAAAAGCTTGGCGTTACTGAAAACGAATGCCTGCTGGAATTGCGTTGCGCATTTAAATCGGCCAAAAACCGCCATCACAAGGCCTCTTGCCTGAAGAGGAAACGCTCAGGACCTGAAACTGAAGCGACAACAGAAGCAGCATCTGAAGCTACAACAGAAGCAGCAACTGAAGCTACCACAGAAACTACATCAGACTAAAGTCTAACTAAAATACTTAACATTAAGTTTTATTTCCATAAACATATATTTATACAACAAACAAAAAAGAATGAACTGAATTATAACCTTAAGTTTAATTAAATAAGTATACATGCAGCGAATCAAATATTTGCAATGCATTTTAAGTTAAAATTTTTATTATTTTTATTTTTTATAAAAATATTGTTTGCTTTAACCAAAACCATATGAATCAAAGTTTCGAACGTAATACAAAATTCAGAAGAATTGAATTCATTAAAATTTAGAATTTTTTAATCTGAAATCTTAGAAAATGTATTAAGTTTTTTAGCCCATACAATTTTATTATTATAAAGTTCAAGTTTCAAGAGACAAAGAAAATGCGTTGATTTTTTATGAAAACTGCCACAGAAGACGTAAAAAATTTAATAAAGATCAGCGCAATTTCTTTGCCAATTGAAAAAAAATTGTATGGGCTAAAAAACTTAATAAATTTTCTAAGACTTACATTAAAAAATCGAAATTTTAATGAATTGAATTATTCTAAATTTTGTATTAAGTTTGAAACTTTGATTCATATGATTTTGGTTAAAGTGAGCATTATTTTTATAAAAAAAAAAACAAAAAAATGTTACTTCAAAAAATGTTTATTAAAAAAAATATGAAATCTTAGTAAGTACATTTTTATTCAACAGTCAAACGTTAAATAACTGATTGTCACAAATTTTAGATTTAATTACACACACTGAACTGAAGCACAATTTTAATTTTAAGTAACTTTTTAAATAAGATCTAAATACACAT